GTGGCTCCCACGAGGCGTGCCTGTGCGGAGCCGCAGCTCTGCCGCTGCGGAGCGTGAGGGTCCCCGCGTGCGCCGGGGGGGAGGCAGGCCCGCGGCTCCGCTCGACGGGAGTGCGGGGCGGGGGCTCTCGTGTGCCGGTGGGGCAGACAGGACGGCCGAGTTGGGACGTCGGAGCCGCTGGCGGCTTGGAGCAGGAAACTGGACGTTCTCCTGGTTGAAAAAAAGTTTTTCGGTACTGGGGATGTATGTTTTGCTGAGTCGCCGTATCGCCCAGGCTACAGCAGAATTCGTGATTCTCCTGCTTCAGCCTCCCGGAGTGCTGGAATCACAGGCATGAGCCACCATGCCTAGCCAGCTGTTTTGTTTGAGGTGTTTGTTTTCTTTGCCGGTTAGAATTTTTAAAAGCATCCCGCCTTTTGCTACCTGGAGAACAGGTGCATGAAGGGAGGCTCCTTCTGCAGTCCAGGCGGGCAGTGGTGGCTCCTCGATCAGATGGAGCAGTGGTGGTGGGAAAAATGGTTGCATTGTGGGTAAATCTGCTTGTGCGTGAGGTGTGCAGTGTGAGCAAGTGTTGTGAATAAAGAACTGTCCTAGGATTTTCAGCTTGAAGGCCTGGAAAAGTGGAGTTACTACAGACAGAAACAAGAATTTGAGGGGAAAAGTGGTTTCTTTCAGGGAAGAAGTGGTGGACCTGAACTTCTAGTGTCCAATTGACCGGGTCCCAGCGTCCTGGGCCAAAGCGGGTCTGGGAATTGAAGAGGGGATGATTCCATGGACAGCGCTAGAAGGCTGGGCCACTCTTACTCTTGTTCCCTCTCAGCTGCCCTTCCAGGGCAGTCAGTGGAGGACCCTGGCAGGTGCCTGGGGTTGGGAAAGGGACAACAGAGTGGACAGGAAATGGAGCGGTACTGGTGAGGGAGGAAGGGATTGACTTCCTGTGCGTCCACCAGGTCCTTGGGGCCATACCCTGTGGCAAGTGGATGTGACTAGTTCATCAGACTGAAGAACCAACCTTGAAATGTCAGGCAGACAGGAGGATCCCTGGGATAGGCATGAGGGGTTGATGAGGACTTGCACTGTTGCTCATTGCAGGTTCAGGTAGGCACCCCTGTAGAGGTCATGCTGGGGCCTGAATGGACGCCTGGGGCCACCTTGGTGTATTTTCAGCCCGGGGCCCGAAGGCATGCTCTCCTTTGCTGAGGTGGAGAGGCCAAGAGAGACCTGTGGCCTGCGGCGGTGGGGGTGGAGGAAATGCGATCTGAGATAGGTCTGGGTAGGACCAGGGAAGGAAGAGGAGGAGTGCCAGAGGCTTGAGGGGAGGTAGCTGTCAGGATGAGGAGCTGGGTGTCACACCGCCATGCCTCAGACTGTCTCCTTCCTGCTGTTGCAGAGCGTGATGGCTTTCGAGGATGTGGCCGTGTACTTCTCCCAGGAGGAGTGGGTACTCCTGGATAAGGGCCAGCGGGCCTTGTACCGACACGTGATGCTGGAGAACTTCGAACTTGTGACCTCACTGGGTAAACCTCTGGGTCCTCATAGGAAGTAACAGTGGTACCAGAATGGACCATCAGGATGGCTCCTGCCTCCCTGGCCACCCGTGAGCAGGGCCTTTCGGTCAGGGGCCTAGTGAGACAGGATTGGGGCCCCAGAGATGTAGTGTGGGTGGCTCGGCCATTTCCATGTCCCCGACTGGCTGCGGTTTCCTGTGCCTGGCTCTGTCCCCTTCCTGTGGTACTGCTGACACAGTCGCTGCTGGGGTTGCACAGATGGCACCGTATGTTTCCATGTTCCCATGGCTCCTGCCACATGTTGAGGGGTGCTGGTCCTGAGCTGCTGTTGGCCTCTCACTTCATCTTTCTCTTTCCAGGATTTTTTTCCTCCCCACCTCGTGTGGTCATCCAGCTGGAGCGTGGCGAGGAGCCCTGGGTTCCCAGGGGGAAGGACTCCATCCTGAGCAGGAATACTCACAGGAGGCTGGGCTTTGGTGAGTCTGGGATCATGGTGGAGTAAAGTCAGGACCAATCTGTCTCCGCTCCTGTCCCCACAGACATATACCCTCCTGCCTCCTGTCTCTCTTCCCTACTTTCATCAGCCACTCCTAAAGGGTACAGCCTTGGCTACCCTCGAAGGTAGAGTTCCAAGGGCACAGGAGCTGCCTCCACATAGGACGTCACCAGCAGGCCAAGGGGAAACCCCCTGAGTAACCTCCCACCCCTCCACCCAACTAAGCTGTGTCGTGTGGACCCAGACCCTCCACATCTCACTGCCGCTTTTTGGGGGGCTTTCTTTCCTTCATTCTTGTGTTCAAATGTTGCTTTTACACTTGAAGTGACCAGGTTTGTTTCAGACACTCTCCATCCTGTTTTGTGGAGCTGATGCCATGGAAAGGCAGTTGATAAACAGTGTTCACAAGAGGCCTTCAGCCTCAGATGATAGGTGCCAGTGCAGTGGGCAAAACCAGGCTGGGCAGTGAGCTGAGAAAGGAACAGAGTGTGTGGAGGGTGTTAGCCAGCTGTTGCTGTGACAGAATACCTGAGATGAACTATGTAAAGGACAAAAGCTCATTTTGTCTCACTCTTTCAGAACTTCAGTCCATGGTTGGCTGAAATTGCTTTTGGTGTGTGTTGAGACAGAACACCATGGCAGAAGGGTGTGCAGGGGAGGAACTGCTCCTCTTGTAGCAGCCAGAAAGCATCCTTCTGGGCCAGTCCCCTGTCAGAATCCCGACTCTGAACACATAAGCCTTTTGGGGAAGATTGAGAAAAAAATTTTTTTGGTACGAGGGATTGAGCCCAGGGTAATTACACTGAAATCTAGCCCCTGCTTTTTGGCAAAGGTTTTTTTTTTTTTTTGGTTTTTCTCCGGTACCGGGAACCGAACTCACGACCTTGCGCTTGCCAGGCAGGCGCTTTTGCTGCTGAGCTAAATCCCCAGCCCCTAGCCCCTGCTTTTTAAATTTTTTTTTTTTTTACTTTTGAGACAAGGTCCAGGCTTCAACTTGTGATTTTCTTCCCCAACCTCTCAGAGTGCTGGGATTACAAATGTGTCTCACCACACCTGCATGGGGGACAGTGAAGATTCAAACTGTAACATTCTATCCTGGCTCACAAAAGATAATACACACTTCTTAATCCCGAATACATTTTAGTCCATCACGAAGCATCCCCAGAATCTCAACTATTCCAGCATTTCTCAAAAGTCCAAGTTTGGAGTCTCCTGTTTGACTCAAGGCAGATTTTAGCTGTGAGCCCATGTAAAATTCAAAAAGTCATACTCCCAGGAAACAGGGGCAGATGTTAAATATTCCCATTCCAAATGGAAGGAGAAGGGAAGGAGGAAGGAGCTGGACCAAACCAAGAACATAACCCAGCAGGCCAGACCTTAAGCCCTGTGGCTCTGTGTCCAGTGTCCAGGGCACATGGTGGCATGATAAGAGCTCCAAAGGGCCTAGGCGGCCCAGCCTCTATGCCCTTACCAGTTGCAGCCCGCAGAGCTGCTTTCTTGGACTGGCTGTGCTCACTGCCTGTAGTGTTCCTGACATTCCACGTTCCTGGCATCTCTAATTTCCTGGGGTCCCCACTGCAACTTTGGCTTGACTCTAAAGCTTCACGCATGGCCCTTTCAGGGGCTCCCCACAGGGACTGACCCTGCCACACATCACCCGACCTTTAAGACCACCCTTTGAAGTCTCAGTGGAGTTTTCCGTGACCCTGTAACTCGTGTCCTGCATGCCTGCAAACCAGCATCATATGGTAATGCCAAGCCAGCTACAGCAGTGGCCGTACCCTCTTGGACCAGAGCTGTAGCAGCCTGAGTGCCTCGATGGCTGAGTGTGGTAAACAAATCCTGGGAAACAACTAGGTAGCCCTGATGGAGCAGGGTACCCTAACAGCTCTTCTCAAAGCAGAGTCCTTCAGAGTTTTACAGCTTTATAGCCTTGAGCTTTTGATGAGTGAAGTCTGGACTATTCTTTTTTTTTTTTTTTTTTTTTTTTTTGAGACAGGGTCCCACTATGCAAGTGCACTGTTCAAGCTGGCCTTGAGCTCACTTTATAGCCCAGGCTGGTCTCTAACTTGCAACGATCCTCCTGCTTCAGCCTCCTGAGTGCTGGGATTGCAGGCATGCACCACCATGCCTGGCTGAGTTCTTTTAAGTATTCAAGATATTAGTGCTTTATCTGGGGAACAGTTGGCAAAAATTTTTTCTGACACTGTGGGCTCTCCTTACTCCTTGCTCTTACTGGGTATTTCTTTTGCGTTGCAAAAGCTTTTTAATAAGATGAGATTCCAGTTGTTGGTTCTTTGTGATAGTTCCTATGAAATTGGGGTTTTGTTCATAAAGTCTTTGCTTACTTTGATGTCTTTAAGTGTTCTACCTATTCTTCTAGCAGAGTTCTTCCAGTAGATTTATTGTTTCTGTTACATTTTTTATGTTTTTTTTTTTTTTTGTCTTTCTGAGACAGGGTCTCGATATGCATGCAGTTCAGGCTGGCCTTGAACTCACTTTGTGGCCCAGGCTGGTCTTGAACTCACAATCATCCTCCTGCCTCAGCCTCCCACGTGCTGGGATTATAGGCGTGCGCCACCATGCCCAGCATTGTTTCTGTTTTAATGTTTAGATCTTTGATCCATTTCAACTTTAGTTTAGTGCATGGTGAAAGATATGGGTCTAGTTTTAGTATTCAGCATGTTAAAAGCCAGTTTTTCCAGCACCATCTATTGAAAAGGCTGTCTTTCTTCCAGTGAATATGTTTGGTCCCTTTGTCAAAGTTGAGATGGCTGAGTATGCTTGGGGTTGTTTCTGCATCTTCTAATCTGTTCCATTGATCCACACATCTTTTTTTGCCAGTACCATCCTTTTTTTTTTTTTATCACAGTACCTTTTGTAGTTCAATTTTAAGTCAGGGATTGTGATGTCCCCTGCCTTGCTTTGTTACTTAGAATTGCTTTCACCATTCTAGGTCTCTTCTGGTTCCAAATGAATTTTAGGATTGTATTCTCCAATTCTGTGAGATACGCTATTGGCAGTTTGATCAGGATTGTGTTAAATGTGTAATCTTCCAGTATTCTTTGTTGTGGAAGTATCTTATTTTTCCATCAGTTTTGAAAGATAGTTCAGTCTGGATTGGAGATTGTTTTCTTTTTTTTGGTTTTTTGGTTTTTCTCCGGTACCAGGAACCGAACTCATGACCTTGCGCTTGCCAGGCAGGCGCTTTTGCCGCTGAGCTAAATCCCCAGCCCCGGAGATTGTTTTCTTTTAGGGCTTGAAATATTTTCACTCCAAACTGTCCTTGACTTGAGGATTTGTGTTGAGAAGTCTGCTGTGATTTTGATGGACTTTGCTTTATAGGTGACTTGTTTCTAACAGCTTTTAGTATTCTGTCCTTGTGTTGAATTTTTCAATCTTGACTGTTACATGCCTTGCTCTAGATTTTATTTTCAGCATGGCTAATTGGAGTTCTGTATGCCTCACTTACCTACATGTCAAATTCTTTTTCCCAAGATTTGGAAATTTTCTGCCATGATTTCTGTGAACAGGTTTTTTATATCATTTTGCTTTATCTCCTTTTTCATAGACTCTGATCAATCTTATGTTATTCTTCTTTGCATCATTTAGTGGCTCTTGGATTGATTTTTGTGTGGTGTAGTCCTTTGCTCTTTTTTTTTTTTTTTTTTTGAGACATTTGCTTTTTTTTTTTTTTCATTATGCAGTCAGGCTGGCCTTGAACTCACTTTGTAGCTCAGGCTGGCTTGTAACTCGAGCAGTTCTCCTGCCTCAGCCTCTCAAGTGTACCACTACACCTAGCTTCAGTTGAATTTTTAATTTTCTGGATATCTATTTGGATATCTATTCCATTTCTTTCCTGTGTTGGGCATTCAGGGTTTCCATCATTTCCTAAGCTCCTCTATGTTTTTATCTGTATCTGCTCTAGAATCACTAAGCATGTCTTTCATTGTGGTCATTATCTCTGTAGTTATCTGAGAAATTATTTCAGATTTGATTTTTTTTCTAGCACCTCATTCTTGTGCTTTGTTACTGTGACCACTTCAGAGAGTCTAGGTGGGTGGCTTTTACACTGTTCCACCTTATTGCCTCCTGAGTTTGCCTTTGGTGAGCTGAAATTCTGGGGTTGCATCTTGCCTAAGTGTCTTTTCATATTCTTTCTTTCTTTCTTTTTTTTTTTTTTTTTTTTTTGTTTTTTTTTTTTTTTTTTTTTTCCCATGTTGATGCTTGTAAATTATGGCAGATAACTTTACTGGTAGTTGAGAACCTTTAGGAAATGGCTACTTCTCAGAGATGTCTGCCAGGTG